ACCCGTAGGCTTGGAGTTTGAGCCGAATACGCCTTACAATTAGTCAAAAAACTCGTCATATTTAGTTTAAAAAGCGACAACTTTATGAAAATAAAATCTACATATTGTAATAATTGCCTTTATATATTTATATGATGATTTCTTTGACATATTAGATTGTTTGTGCAGTTGGTTGGAATAAATATTGCATGATACATATATATATATATATATATATATATGCTTCCTTTTATTTCCAAGAAGGCATTTATGGATTGTTCTACCTTAAATGCCTGTTAGAACATGTTCCAAATGGCTGACTGAATTGATATTTTGTAACCAATTCTAATATTTCATTTTTTGTTTTTCTTTGTAGATCCCTTTGTTGCGTGGACTTGTGGATAATCCATATTGGTGTATTGAGAAGAATTTTCACTTTTGTATAGAACTAATACAATACTTTTGTTGTCCTCAGCTTTTGTGTAGGTCACTATTACTGATACAGAAAACTTTTGGCAATCAACAGATACTGATTGATGTGGTACATAGTTCACCTTCTGTTGGGGTACATATATGACCTTTTGTCGTGGTCTATAGAAAAACTTTTGCCGTGGTACATAGATCACCTTTCGTCGTGGTACATATATACCATTTGTCGGCTTACATGTATGACTTTTTGTCATGGTCTATAGAAAACTTGTCGTGGTATAGATTATGATAGTAATTTGTACCATGCCAAATGGTAATTTCGCTTGGTAGTAAATGTATTTTTTGTATACGGAGTGCTTTGATTTTTGTATGATATATTTTGTATGGAATTATTATTTTAGTTTGGACAATAGTTGGTTTGTATGGATTTTGACATTTAAAGTTATTTATTTTTTGTATATGGATGTAGATTGTGGAATGATTGATAGTATGTATCATTTTCTTTATATACGTATTACAGGTTGCATGAAATATAGACAGGTTGTGGAGAAATTATAATTTTGCAATAACACATAATATCATGTTTTTGGGGACTAAACAATTAGTAGCTAAAAGAAATTAGGAAAAGACATTTGGCGATTAAAAGTTTTGTAGCAAAAAAAAAGAAAAAAGAAAAAAAAAGGACATTTGGCGACTAAAAGTTTAATAGCCAAAAGAAAATTAAACATTTGGCGATTAAAATATTTCGTTGCTAAAAACAAAAATTAAAGAATAAAAATACTTTTCCCGACTAAAAATTTAGTAGCAAAAAATGTGGGATTTTAGGCGAGCAAATATTTAGTAGCCAAAACAAGAACTCTTTGCCGACTAAAAATTTAGTAGCAAAAAATGTGGGACTTTAGGAGAGCAAATATTTAGTGGCCAAAATAAGAACTCTTTGTTGACTAAAATTTTAGTAGCAAAAAATGTGGGACTTTAGACGACTAAATTTTTAGTAGCAAAAACAAGAACTCTTTGCCAACTAAAATTTTAGTAGGTAAAAATGTGGGACTTTAGGAGTCTAAAAGTTTGGTCGCCGAAAATGTACTAATTTAATTTAATGTCCAACCTTTTTGCGACTAAAATTTTAGTCGAAAATTGTATACATTTGGCGACTAGAATAATTTTAGTCGCTAATTACCTTTACCGACAATTCTTTGACGACTACTTTTGCGGCCAAATAATTTAGTCACTGAAACCCTTCGGCGACTAAAAATTAACTTTTAGCGACTAAAAATTTAGTCGCAAAAAGTGAAAGATCTTGTAGTGTAGAGGTGACATTGGCACCACAATAGAAGTGATGGTGTGACGACGACGAAAACGATAATGGTAGTAATTTGGTGGCATTATAAGCCATTATTCCACAAAATGTTTTTCACATCGAAAAATATTTTCTACCTTTTCAAAGGTAGAAAATATAATAGTGGCCATTCTTTAACCTCTCTATGGAATGTCCAATTATAGTGCATTTTTTAAAATCCTTCTTTAGTGAGCCAAATGTATGAATGAACATTGTGAGAGAATAATTTTAATTTCACCTTTATTTTAGTGAATTAAATACAATCTTAAATAATCAATCATCATATTTACCAACAAATCCTATCTCATAAATAAGTATTTTAATTAGTTTTAAATTTTTTCTATTGGTCTGTTAAGTCCTATTAGTGGAGAGTTTCTTTCCGTGTAGTCCTATTTTTGATTTTAGTAGTGTTTTGGTGGACAACTATATTCTTTTATTAATGTGACATGAATGATGTGAAACTCTAATGTGATATGTATTAATATAATACTCTAATGATGTGATATTCCAAAAAAATTAATAACTCTATAGTGTATTTTTTCTAAATGTGACAATGTAACAGATATGACGTGACACTCCAAAACTTTTACTTTCAAAAAAAATAAAAATAAAAACTCTTTAGTGTACTTTTTCCTAATGTGACAACATGGCGGGTATAATATGACACTTAAAAAAAAAAAAAAAAACTCCTTAGTGTACTTTTTTCAAATGTGATAACGTGACGGGTATGATATAACACTCTAAAAAATTGAAAAACTCCTTAGCGTACTTTTCTCAAACATGACAACGTGGCAAGTATGTTGTAACAAAAAAATAAATACTCTTTAGTGTACTTTTCCCAAACGTGACATGCGACTTTCCAACGTGGCAGGTATGATGTGACATTCTAGAAAAATTAAAATCTCTCTAGTGTAATTTTTTCAAATGTGACACTCTAACGTGCCGGGTATAATGCACTACAACAAATAAGAGTTTTAGAGACCAAATGCTTTGGTATCTAAAAGTGAAAATTTTGTTACAAAAGACATTTAGGGACCAATTTTTAGTGTCACGAGGATAGCCGTCAAAATGTCGTTTTGAAAAGTCCAAAATGAGGCTTTTAGCGACAAAATTTTAAAAATATCATTAGGAAATAGACTTTTAGGGACAAAATAATTTGGTTTTAAAATGGTTTATTTTTTGAGACAAAAAAATTGATCCCAAACGGATAATAATTTATTACTAATGTCTAATTTGTTTTACTAAAAATATAATAACGATACTTTTCGTAACAAAAATATTTGGTCAGTAGAAAATAATTTTATTTTGGTCTCTAAGACATTAATTTTTTATGGTATTGTGACATTAAAAAATTTTTTAGTGTACTTTTTTTAAATGTGACACTCTAATGTAACAGGCAAATGAGTTATCTCACATCCAAAAAGATTAAATGGATCACAAAAAAAAGAAAAAGAAAAAAAAGACTATATAAATTATAAATCCAAAATATGAGACTTATTAATCAATCTCCTTTTATTTTATTCCACCTTCATCCCAACTTGCAATTGTACAATGTTTTGTTTGTTAGAATATGAATTCATATGCTTCCAAGGGGGGCAATGGAAGCTTAAAATAAACTTGTGTAGTGTGCGTAAAAACTTATTTTCTCAAATATGACAATGTGATAGGTATGGTGTAACAAAAAATTAAATACTCTTTAATGTACTTTTTCCAAACGTGACATGCGACTCTCCAACGTAGCATGTATGATGTGACACTCTATAAAAATTAAAAATTGTTTAGTGTATTTTTTCAAATGTGACAATCTAATTTGCCGGGTATAGTACACTACAACAAATAAGAGTTTTAGTGACCAAATGTTTTGGTTTCTAAAAGTGAAAATTTTGTTACAAAAGACATTTAGGGACCAATTTCTATCGTCACGAGGATTGTTGTCAAAAGGTCGTTCTGAAAAGTCCAAAATAAGGCTTTTAGTGACAAAATTTTAAAAATATCACTAGAAAATAGACTTTTAGGGACAAATAATTTGGTCTCAAAATAATTTATTTTTTGAGACAAAAAATTTGATCCAAAAAGAATAATAATTCATCACTAATGTCTAATTTTTGTTACTGAAAATATAATAACGGCACTTTTCGTAACAAAAATATTTGATCTGTAAAAAATAATTTTATCTCTAAATTTTGGTCTCTAAGACCTTAATTTTTTATAGCAATGTTTTTTTTTTTTTTTTTTTTGATCGGCAAAGAAAATCTTTATTGATGTAAGTATGTAAAAGAGATACAGAACATCAATAAAGAGGAGGTTAGAGCTATTAAATTTTTATAGCAATATTTTTTATAGCAAAAATTAAATGGATCAAAAAAAAAAAAAAAAGACTACATAAATTATATATTTAAAATATGAGACTTATTAGTCAATCTCTCTTTATTTTATTTCACCTTCATACCGACTTGCAATTATACACTGTTTTGTCTGTTAGAATATGAATACATATGCTTGCTAGGGGGGCAACGGATGCTTAAAATATAACTTGTGTAGTGTGCGCAAAAACATATGAAGATGTACGAATTTATCTAGTTATAAGTTCAGTCTCCCGACAATACCAAAATTGAGAGATTAGTTGGATAAAAAAAATAAAAAAATAAATAAAAAAAATAAAAAAAAAATAAACATGCAAATTAAAATTGGTAAATGCTGCATCAAATTGCATTAATATACATATATATATATATATATATTTGGGTAAATTATAAATACACTTCCTGAGATTTACTTAAATTACAAATTATCTTCTGTGATTTTAGAAATTACATTATGCCCCCTAATGTTTCTAATTTTATAACAAATAGGTCCTTTTATTAATAAAGTATCAAGTTAATTAACAATTTTTAATAATGTTAAAATTTTATTTCAATTAATAATTCAGATAATTTTATTATTGTATAGATGAACAGTTAGAAATTTTACTTTTCAATTAATTTTATTAAATAAAAATTTTTATAGGAAGGTATTTGTAATTTTTAAAACCACAAAGAACAATTCGTATTTTAAAAAAATTTCAGAAAGTGTATTTGTAATCACGCTATATTTTTTTGTCTTTTTACATTTCAGCACAAAGTCCTAGCTTCCGGCACAAAGTGCTACCATTGCTTATAAATCTGAACATCATTTGGTCTTATAGATTCCCCATATTCTTTCAAAACTTTGCTATCACTTTGTGGATCGATCAATGCCCTCAATTTTCAAACGATGTCGAAAAAAGTTTATATTATGAACTTTAGTTCTGTTACAATCACAGAAACCAAACACTGAAATAAAATGTTAAAGTAAAATGTTTTTGTGCTCCAAAACTTATTCTATCACCATCCTTAAAAGCTGATCTCCCTAGCTTTATTACTGGCAATGCCCCCATGCACTTCCTCAAGATCCAAATGGTACACTAGCCTATCCATGTATCCAGCACGTTCAAGGGCTCCTCAGTCTTGTAGATGAGATGAATTTGGAAGTATAGTGAAGGCACAAACCCCACTTATTGCAGCTGAAATGGCACCCATCACAAAGCCAGGCAAGTTACCACCTCCGAATGCAGCATCCAATGGTCCAATAATCACAGCTACAATCAACTGTTTTAACATTATGTAACCAAAATCATGTCCAACATTAAGATCAATAATAAAAATTATTTTGACATGTGCAACATTAAAATCTGTTTCATTTAAAGTATTTATTAGATTACTTTTTCGGGATACATAAAGTTTTTTCTTTTCGTTCTAATGATTAAGACCATGGCTTAGTGATAATGCTATGATGGAAATAAGCAACTAATTGATGCATGTAGGATTTGTAGTGGAATCTCACCTGTGGTATACAAATTGAAATATTCAACAGTCCCAAAGAAAGTCCTATGAAATTCAAAGATTAAGATTGTGTTACGCGGATCAAAAGTCTAAATAACGACAATATTAGTTTAAAGTATAAAACTCACCTTGACCAGCTCCAGACGCGTTGGAAAAGATTGAAGCTAGAGCAAATGGAATGCTAAAAGTAACCTGCACATAAGTGAAAAACAATAAATTCGACTCTCATAACCGAAATGAAGATCTTTTCAGTTTGAATTATTATTTTTTTTTTGTTATGGATATTAAAATGGATATGTTTAAATGTGCAATTTAGAACTCTAAATCTTTATGATAAATTTTGTAAACTCAAATTGTTTGAATCATTTTTTGAAATAGTAAGTCTAGGAATACATAAACTAAATACTATACCAATCAAAAAATATATTAATGGACAAGTTTTTTGAGATGTGAACCCACCAGCAAATCTTCTAATGTCCTATCCATCCATATGTTCGATGTGTCTAGCATTTTGTATTTGAAAATTGAAATCTAGACAAGCATGGTGCGTGGTATAAAGCACTTTGAAAGGAACTAACCGCTTGTGGGATACCCATCACACCAAAAATAGCCAAGGCAAAGTTTTTGACACCAGAAGGAGGGGGCTTAGGGATGCCATTCCTAGCATTCTCAGCCATCTTACTGACCCACAACGTCAGTACGAGGCAAAATGCTAGTATCAAGTTTCCAATACCCCATACCCGCTTAACATCGCCAAGGCAACGGGCCATAGGCTCGATGGCTAGTGACACGAATCCTAGAATCACTGCATACAACATTAGTCCCATTGATCCTACACTCACGCCTTGATCATACAACTTTGCTTCTACAACTGTTCCATCTGCTTTTCCTCCATATATTTCCCTTCCCACCCAATCTGTATCGTACAATATGAATGGGAACCAACCGATCCAGTTCAAGCTTGTTACCACAAGAAGAAGCATCATGGGTCTTGATATGTCTTTCATTGCTGACCCAAGTTGGCTAAAAAATAGTTTTGATTCTTCTCCTTCTATTTGCTTACCCTTCTTGATTGGCGAGAGCGGTACCTCTTTCACTAAGGTGCAAGCCAATGTGGTTAGGATTGTTAGCAAGACAATGGAGAAAATAAAGCAAGTTTTGAGGTTGGCACAATAGAAATCACAGGCTTCAGTCTTTGTGAATGGGAAGATGCGATATAGTTTAGGGTATGATCCGGCAGCATAACCCAAGACATTCCCGACGGCCATGAAAAATGAAAAGAATGCATTTGCAGCGCTCATTTTGGAATGGTTATTCCCTGAGAGATCTGCTAAAAAAGCCCGACATGGGCCTTGTAATGTATTGTTTGCAACATCCAATATCCAAAATCCTATCACGAAGAAAACGACTGCTCTAGGTTTGGTTCTTTGCGTTAGAGAGTCGCCTAACATGCTGCCGAAATCAGCTGCAAAGCCAATAAGGACGATGGCAAAGGCGACGAGGATAGCACCAGCTACTATGTATGGACGGCGACGACCGTACTTGGAGGTGCAGTGGTCGCTGTAGTAGCCGACTGTGGGTTGGACGAGCAAGCCAGATAGGGGGCCACAAAGCCAAATGAAGCTTGACCATGTGTGGGGGACACCTAAAACTTGTACGTATGGTGTCAAAAGGGAGAGTTGTAGAGCCCAACCGAATTGTACACCGGCAGCAATGGAGGAAACAAGGATTAACTTGCTGATAGGGCTTGATGGTGCATCTGGATCATGTTCGGAAGCTGTGCTGAATACAGCCGCATGTTCCATACTTACACGAACTATCTACTATCCCTCTTTATCTCTTATTGCTTGTGGCTCGAGGCCTTTTGAATCTCTACTACCTTATTAAAAAAATGATACAGATTGTAGATGTTAGAGATGAGATGAATCCATTATGGTACAACACTGAGGATATATATAATGTACGTATAGAGAGAGAGAGAGAGAGAGAGAGAGAGAGAGAGAGAGAGATAAAGTGAGGGAGATATTAAAGGACTACCATTCCTTTGGCATTTGACTTAGAAACACAATTTCGACAGTTGCAACCAAGAACGTTTAGAGTGCCAAAGAGACTAGTAAGTAGGAGAAATTGGTGGGGAAACCACAATCATGCAAACAATACTATAAACATAGTACTCGTAGACGTGTCATTATCTTTATTGTTATCTTACTCATAGACGTGTCATTGACTTAATCGTAATGTTTTTTTTTTTTTTTTTTTCAGATGAGAATAAGGGAAAATATAAGGGAAACAATATAATATATGTTGGTATCATTTCATTTAGTTAATAACATTAAATATTATATTTTTGGTAATATATTTTTAATAATTTCTTATAGATACTAAAGAAAAAAAAAAAACTTTTAAAGTTGGTGGTGATTCTACAAATTGAGGACAAAAAACTACCAATATATCACTTGTGAAAGATGATTGGGGATGTGGGGAATACGAAAAGACTAATGGATTTGAACAACTCTAGTTATCTTTATTTCACACAATAAGGTTGTTAAAAATTATAAAAATATTGAAAGCAATAATGTATATGAGTTTCAGAATCAATTAATTATTTTTTAATCTTAAAAAAGGATATAATTTTCCCACTAATGCATGGTACGTTCCCCCGTAAATCAATTATTTTCCAATTTAGTTCCTAACTATTTATTTTTTTGCCACATTGGTCTAATTGCTAGGAAAAAGTCACAAAGAATGCATGTGTCATGGGTAGAACCTAACCCGATACAAATGATATTGTAAAGATATATATATATATATATTTATAATTAATAACAACTATTTTTAAATTAATTTATTGTGTAAAGATTCATGTATTTTTGTTTTTTTAAGATTAATTAAACTACGTATAATTTGATCGGGTGATGAGCCAAATAAAATTTGTTTAGGTAGATGATAGGTTGGGGTGTGCATAATACCGCCGAAACCGCCGAAATCGCCAAAACCGCACCGAACCGCACCGCCAAGGCAAATTCGTTATTATTTGTCAATCGAACCGCCGGTTTTTGGTAAGAAAAATGGCAAATTCTAGTGACACTTTTATCAATCCGCCAGTTTCTATTTTTCTTCCAAACCGCACCGACCCGCACCGCTATTAAACCATGTTTTATAGGATTCTAAAAATTCTTTTTTATTTAAGTTTGCTTATTGTTCTATACCTTAGAATATAGTATTACATTACTGCTCGAGGGGAATTTTATCAATCCGTCACCCGCCATACGGTTTCTATTTTTCTCTCAAACCGCACCGACCCGCACCGCGCACACCCCTAATGATAGGTACAACATGAATAATTTGGATATGTGTATTTAGTATGTTATTTGGAACACTTATTTTATTTAAATTTGTGGAACTTGATTCAATTATTTTTTTAATTGGGCTTTGCAATACCTATTTTGTGTTTTATTTATTTTTGGCCATTGTTATTAAGCCCGTGAGTTAGATTAATTTGCTGGGTTAATTACCAACTAATCTCAAAATCAAGAAGTATTTCAACTCCAGGATTGCTGCAGCAATAGCAATTTCATCATTCTATCAGGTACTCTTCATTGCAGTTTTGATTGTGTTATTGTTGATGTCTACGGTCCAAATGATGGTGCTAGTAGGAGTAGGGTATGGGAAATATTGAATAATTTAAAGCAAACTTATGAAAAACCTTGGTGATTGGGGGTGATTTCAATGAAGTCAGGAAACTATCTGAGAGGTTGGGCTGCTCTCAAAGAAATAGAGGTATGAATGACTTTAATGAACAAATTGATAACTTGGAAGTGTGTGACATCCCAATGTTGGGGAGAAAGTTCACTTGGTGTAACTCACAAGAAGGAGTCAACTGGAGTAGGTTAGACAAGTTCTTACTCAGTCCGGAATGGTTGCAGAAATTCAGTTTCAAATTGTGGGGATTACCAAGAAGGTTTTTAGATCATTGCCCTATGTTACTCACGAAAGATGAGAGGGATTGGGGTCCAAAGCCATTTAGGTCTCTAAATGCTTGGACATTACATCCGAATTTCAAAACTTTTGTGTAGAAAATGTGGGATGAATCTAATGCTGATGGTTAGGCTGGCTTCAAGTGTCTAAGGAAACTGAAATCACTTAAACTAGCATTGAAAAAATGGAATCTTGAAGTATTTGGTAATGTGGATTTTAAACTTAAGCAACTGGAGGAAGAATTACATGCTCTGGATTTGGCAACTAAAGACAGGTTTCTAAATGACTCAGAGTTAAGTTGGAGAAGGGAGGCAAAAGAAGAAGCATAGAAATTGAGTAAAATGGTGGAATGGTTATGGTTGCAGAAGTCTAGAGTTAACTGGATATTAAAAGGGGACATAAATACAAAATTCTTCCATTTGATGGCTTCCTCAAGAATGAATAGGAATGCATTGTGTTCAATTGATGTCAATGGGGTTTTGAAGGAAGATCCTGATGAAATAACAGTCGAAGTCCTAACTTATTTCTAGAAGTAGTTTGCAGAATCATGGTTCAACAGGCCAAGCTTACCTGGTCCTTTTAAATTAATTAGGGGTGATGAGGTTAGAGTTGCTTTGGAGGCTGAGTTCACAGAATCAGAAGTTATAGCAGTAATTAAAAACTGTGATGGAAACAAGGCTCCAAGACCTGATGGCTTCAATTTGATGATGGTACAGAGATACTGATAGACAATCAAAGAGGATATGATGCAATTCATGAAAGAGTTTCACGTCAACTCTAAGTTTGTACTTGGTATTAACAACTCATTTGTAGCTTTGCTTCGAAAAAATGAAAATCCTTCTTGTCTCAGTGAATTCTGGCCTATTAGTTTCATAGGTTCATTGTATAAAGTTCTTTCAAAAGTTTTATCTAGTAGGCTTAAATCAGTATTGCCCAAGATCATTAGTGAATCTCAATGAACTTTCATAGGGAGTAGAAGTATTTTGGACGGTGTTCTAGTTGCTAATGAGATTTTTGATAATTGGAAGAAGAAGCAAAAGATAAGTATTGTCCTAAAATTTGATTTTGAGAAAGTATACGATTCAATTAATTGGGAGTTTCTCCTCTCTATGCTCTCCAATTTTGGGTTTGGCTCAAAATGGATTAACTGGATAAAGGAATGTGTTTCAATAGCCAAAGTGTCCATCTTGGTGAATGGATTACCTACACCTGAGTTTAGTCCCCAAAGGGAACTTAGACAAAGTGACCCATTATCACATTTTCTCTTTAATATTGTGGCTAAGGGTGTAAACATACTGCTAAACAGAGTTGTCCAGTTAGGTTTGATTAAGGGTGTAACAGTTGGTTCAAATGATCTTATTATTACCCACTTACAGTTCGCAGATGACACAATATTGTTTTGTGAGGCAAGAAGTGAGGAGGTGCTTAATATAAAAAAGGATATTGAGGTGCTTTGAAATATTATCTGGGTTAAAGATTAATTATCACTAGAGTGTGATTTGTGGAATTGGAATAAATGAAGAACTCATTAAAGATTTTGCTGCCATCTTGCACTGTCAGCATCATAGTTTACCATTGAAATATTTGGGTATGCCCTTGGGAGCTAATCCAAGGAGAAGAAGGACTTGGCAACCTGTTATTGAAAAATTCAAATCGAAGTTGGCTTCTTGGAAAAGAAGGTTTTTATCCTTTGCTGGGAGGTTGACAATGATCAAGTTTGTGTTATAATCCCTACCAGTTTTCTACTTATCCTTGTTTAAAATGCCTGAAGGAATTGCAAACGAGATTGACAAAATACAGTCTAGATTCCTTGGGAGGAGGGGGGGTGATGAATTAAGAAGGAAAATCCATTTGGTCAACTGGAGGGGAAATCATTCAAAGCAAATGTAATGGGGGTCTAGGTATTAGAAAGGCGAAACTCATGAATGATTGTCTTCTTTTGAAATGGTGGTGGAGATTTGGGTGTGAAAAAGGTACTCTCTAGAAACAAGTGATTTGCAGCAAGTACCCTGGGACTGGAGGGGGTTGGTGGCCAATACATGTTGCAAGTACAAGGTTGTCTATGGTTTGGAGAGATATATTGGGGGTTGTTGGAAATAGTCCTGAGCCGTTAGAGTTTTTGAAAGTCAACAAAAAGCTTATTATTGGTGATGGAAGGGAAACAAAATTCTGGCTTGATAATTGGGTTGGTAATGGGTGCTTAAAAGATGCATTCCCTATTATTCTTTGTGTCCCTTGATCAATGTGAATCAGTGGCAGTGGTTAATAGCAGGAGAAATGAGAATGAAGAGTGGGATTTGGCCTTGAAAAGAACCTTGTTTCGGTGGGAACTTGAAGAGCTGAGGAGGTTGAAGGTGATGTTACAAAATGCTCCTGCCCTCAGGGAAGGAGTGTTGGACAGATTGAGCAGGAAAAGAGGAATGCAGATAAGTCTGGTGAGTTTACTATAGCCTCTGCCTACAAGTGGAATGAATTATCGTCTGAAGTTACTGCAAAATTAGGGAAATTCATTTGGAAGAATGTGGCTCCATCGACGGTGCAATTTTTTGGGTGGTTAGCATAGAAAAGGAGGACCAAGACATCCTGTTATCTTCAAAGCATTGGAGTCCTCAGTGATGCTTCAAATGTTAACTATAGCTTCTACATGAATGATTTGTGCTGTTGTGTTGTCATTTTAGTTGAAGCATTTGGTCCAATGTTATTAATTGGTGGGGAGTATATTGGGTGCTGCTGGGGTCAGTAACTAGTCTTTTGTAGTGGTGGGCTAGTTATAGATTCAACAAAAGGGAGAAGGTCATCTGGACGGTCATTTCATTGGCGGTGCTCTGGTCCATATGGAGACAGATGAACGAAAGTATTTTTAATGGCACACAGGTGGATTTGGAAAGGTTTTGTGAACTTATTAAAATAAGGATTGCATTGT